CGGGTGCACCGCGTTGGGGACCATTGCTTTAAAATTAGTAAAGAACAAAATAGGGAAAAATTAGTAGAACAAAATATTTTTTAGAAATCGGTAAATATTGTAATACAGTAGATCTGTTGTAAGTTCCTCTCTTCTAAAGATGTTTCTAAGCACTCATTTTTCTAAATAAATGTTGTTATAAATTATTAATCTAGAGCTTTCTATTGCACCGCGTTGGGGACCATTGCTTTAAAATTAGTAAAGAACAAAATAGGGAAAAATTAGTAGAACAAAATATTTTTTAGAAATCGGTAAATATTGTAATACAGTAGATCTGTTGTAAGTTCCTCTCTTCTAAAGATGTTTCTAAGCACTCATTTTTCTAAATAAATGTTGTTATAAATTATTAATCTAGAGCTTTCTATTTTATTTTTAATATTTCAGAATATTTGACACCATTTTGATAAAAGGCAAAAATAATAATAAAATGGTTACTCCAGATAGATACTGCTATGTTATTTGGACAAATCTTTTTGAGAAACCAACAAAGATTTTTCCCTGGAAATCTTGAGTCCTAACTCACAAGCCCCTGCAAAAATTGCTGTGTGATGGAACTTGATTGGGAAAGATGAGGTAATCAGAATGGCGAACTAGGACAGTGGTTCTCAACCTTTTCAAGCATATGGACCCCTTTTCAATCTATTAAAGTTTCACAAACCCCCCTCATTGGGGGCAGAGAAAAAAAAAGAAAAGGGAAAGTAAAAATAAAAAAAAAGAAAAAGAAAAGTAAGGATCAGGCCCACAGTGGTGAGCCCAATCCTTATTTTTAAACTTTCCACGGGCTCCCTGCAGTACCGTCGTGGACAACCAGAGGTCTGCAGACCATAGGTTGGGAACCACTGAACTAGGATATTTGGAAAAACAATTTTCTCTAAATGGGAGCCATGGATCCAGTCCAAACACTCTGTTATCAGTGGAAAATTTCCCATTGACCTCAGTAGTAAAGCTAGTTTTACATGCTGACACAAGAAGCAGCTTTGGTGTCTCCTTGGACACATGCTATTGGTTTTACTTAAAGCTAGAACCAAGCGATTTGCTTTATGGCATTTTCTATATGTTTTGTGTTTGTTTTTGGACTATGGTAAATTGTTTTGAAATCCTTTGCCAAAATGTTTTTGATCAGTCACTGGGGATTTTTAAGCAACCAAAAGCACTGGCTCCCCCTTGGATTAAGAGGGAAGCCAGCTTACACTTTAGAAAAGAGACACTGATCACAAAACACAAGCCATATAGAAATAATTTTGTGAATCTCAAGGACTAGTCTATTCTCTGGTATTGGGGATTGTTTACATCAAATCTACATAAAAAAGACCTGCTTGCTCATGAAAATCAAGTCCAGTATCTGCAAACTGAAATGCTGTTTGTGCCCACAAATGACTACATGGGGGAAAAAAAAAAACCAGATGCAGCTTCTGAAGATTGCTGAATAACCTCTGAACAGTAGGCTTTTTAACGAAAAATTTGGTGCTTTTACTCAATCATCATACAGAACTTATTTAATATTTAGTTGTATTAGAATACACTAAAAGGTTTCAGTGGAATACTTACTTTACTAAGGAAGCTTTGCGACAAAGCTTGTCCGCTCCCCTGTAGTAATTTACCAGCTGCACAAGTCCAGGTTCATGACCTATAAGAGGAAATACAGAGTTAAGAAAAACTCTTCAGTTAAAAAAAAAAGGGGGGGGGGGGGGGACATTGATTGTTGAGGAACCCTAGGAAAAAGAGAAAAAAGTATACCTTTCTGTTATACAGTATTCCAGATAAACATGTGATGCTGCCATTGGGACCAGGTTACACCATAAAGTGTAGCTTAGCGAAGACAATTCTAAGTTAGGTTTAACTATTTCCAGTAGTCAGTTATATGCGCCTTATATGCTTCCTTAGTCTGGTGCTAGTTGTCACTTGTGCCTACTTGGTATTCCACAAATAAGTATATTTCCTAGATATCTGGAATGAACCAAACCTCCTTCCAAAATGTCCCAACCTTGCCCCTACAACAGATAGTGGCCATGTGTCATTTGCTCAGAGCACCTCAAATATCCTTAGTTCCCTGAGGTTCACCAGCTAGAAAAAAAGTCTGCCATTTGGTTGTGCCTATGCAAGCTCATAAAACATGTAAATGATATTGTTAGTCTTTAAGGTGCTGCTAGGCTACTGGTTTTAGTTTTTCCAGTTACAGACTAACTCAGCTAAACCTCTGAAGCTTCTGAACAGAAATGGCAGCTAAACCAGATGGATGGGCTAGGTGAGACTAGGAAGAACCTGTGTGTAGATTCTTGCCTTAGTACCCTTCCTATCTATCGCCTTTGATCCTTATCTGCTTCATTTTAACTATCCAATCTTCAGGTGCTTACTGACTGCTAGTTCTGCCTTCCTGTTTTTCCCTTTGATATTTTCATACTCTCTGTTCCGTGTTTCCTGCCCCCTTCCTTTTTTTTCCTTCCCCCTTCTCCCCTATTTATTTTGGGTCTGTGCACATCCTAAACTCAAAACTCCGGTCATCTGAAGAAGTGGGCTGTGCCCACAAAAGCTATATGTTTTGTTAGTCTATAAAGTGCTACCAGACCATTTGTTGTTTTTTAAGTTTATCCTGTACAGACTAAATCAGCTACCCCCTGAAGCTTCTAGACTAGAGGGGTTCAACCTGTACTGAATTGTCTTTAAAATAAAGAGGAATCCATTAAGCACATTTTATTGTGTTACTGCTAGAAGAGGTTGCTCTACTGTCCTTTTCTGCCTTTATATTTATACATAGGCACTTTAAGATTTTTCATTAAAAGAACAGCTATAGGCAAAAAAGATGCACAGCAAGATGCTGGAGGGAATGTCAAGCCAAGGGGAACCATTCCTAATGTTAGGAAGCAAATGCAGGTGCTATTTCAGGAATATAGTCCCACATATTTTTTATGGGATTAGACAACTGTCCCAATTTACTGAAAAAAGGAGAGAGCTGTTCAGAACAATCCTGACAGCAGCCATGAAACATATTTCATTGCAAGGGGGCAGATTCTTCTCCCCAGACACATGCAGATCTCTCAACTTCCACACACTGCACTCCCTGGAAGAAGGCACTCCGGCTATGTCTAGACTGCAAGCCTCTTTCGAAAGCCTCTTTTGAAAAAGAGCGTCTAGACTGCAAGCAGTGCTTTCGAAAAAGCAAGCCGCTTTTTCAAAAGAAAGCAGCGAGTGAGTCTGGATGCTCTCTTTCTAAAAAGCCCTGTTGGCATTCAAGAACGCCTTTTTTCATAAGAGCACTTTCGAAAAAAGGCATTCTTCCTCGTGAAATGAGGTTTACCGCCGTCGAAAGAAAAGCTGCGTTCTTTCGATTTAATCTTGAAAGAACACGGCTGCAGTCTAGACGCAGGTGAAGTTTTTTAGAAAAAAGGCTACTTTTTTCGAAAAAAACCCTGAGTCTGAACACAGCCTCCCATAGGATCAGCAATGACTCTGCATCTGTTCTCATCATTCTTCAAACTCTGTTCCCCTCTGGGATCCTGCACAACAGCAAATGCAGCCTAGGTTTGCCTTCATTTCTCTCCCCTGAAAGTTTTAAGGCCAGAAAGGACCTCTGAGATTATTTAGTCTGGCTGCCTGCTTAACCAAGACTAGAATTCCACCCACTGATTCCTGCATCCAGCCCAATGACTTGCAGTTGAGCCACAGCACATTTGTAGACAGGCCAATCTTAATTTCAAGACTCCAGATAACTGAGAATCTACCAGCTGCCTTGATAAATTGTGTCATGGTTAATTACTGCCACTTACTAAGGTGTGCTTCAGCCTTTGCCTGCTGTATTGAAGAGCCATCTACTATCAGCCATCTTCTCTCCATGTAGGTAATGATGACTTTTCAGTAAAACACCCCTCTGTGCTAAGAAATGCCCCTCTTCTGGAGGGGAAAAAGGTTCTAGGAGCAGTAGCACAAATCCCTGGCAGAAATACAAGGCTGTAAGAGAAGGGAAGGGATGCCTTGGGTGGTGCAGATGCAAAGGATTTGCATGATGATGTTCCTGTTACTTTTAACAGGCCCCCTGGGATCTAACAGGGTGTTTGTGTTGACAGTGAACCCCGTCTATGGAAAATCTGTGAGAGGCCTGTAGAGTGTGCTTCCACGTAAGTTTTCGGGAGGGGCGAGATGGGAGTGGTGGCACAAGGAGAGGCCCGGTTATATGATTGGAAAACAAATATCTCCTATAGAAACATGGCTGGCAAAAATGACTTATTATGAGCACTGCTTTAACAACTGAACTTTCAGAGGAAAAACACAGCTAGTAAGAAACTAGTTAAAAATAAATTATCTACCAGTTTGTTAGTAGCCTAACACACTGCCTCAGTTTTGTTGCATGTTCCTAGCTCATAATTCTACTGCTATGCAAAGTTGACAAACAATTCTGGCAATTTCAACATTTTCTTCAAATTTTTATCTAAAATTTTCATTTTGGGGACTTGTGTTGGTGGCTACATATTAGTGAATCATGGTAGTATGTCCTACCAGGTGTACAATTCCCACTATCAAACACCATAAATTAGTCACCATTTTTTAAAAATGAGACACCGCTATAGTTTCTAGTTCAGTAAAATATTTTTTTAAATTTGGGTTACCAATAACCTTGCAGATCAGATCAGCAAAAGTTTAATTGCCACCCTGCTCAAGGGGAGTTAAGACTACACTAGGCCAGTAACTATAACTAGCTGTGACCTTGCCACAAGCTGTCAGGGTAAAGAGTGGGTACCTACGTTTTGTGCCCAGGTTGGTAAATTTCTTATGACAATTTTGTAAGATGGCCTCAAAGCTTACCTATTTGCACCTACAGTAGATGTGCTGGACCAGCTTAAAGAGTGACAGTTCAGCTTACTTCTGTTTGCGTCACTGCTAAGGAGGGATTAAATAAAATCAAACAATCTGCTTTCAATAAATAAAAAAACAAAACCGCCTAATGGGATGTGAGGTTCAGGGAGTGGGATCAGTCTTTCCACAGGACACACCACTTCTCTCCTCTAGCATGTCCATTGCTAGACTTGCAGAGCCAAACCACATGGACTTAGAGGGCTAAGGGAAGCCTGTCACAGAGCTACGTCCCCAAGCCAGTTTCCATGATGTTTATTTTCCTGCCTCTCTCAGTAATGGATTCATCTGAGGAAGTGGGTTTTACCCATGAAAGTTCATGATTCTATATATTTTGGTTAGTGTCTAAGGTGCCACAGGGCCACTTATTTCTAAAGTTACAGACTAACACAGCGACCCCTCTGAGTAATGGATGGCGTGCGCCTGGGCACTGCACAAAGCAAGCACAGATATGGCTTTTGCTCAAGTAGTAGCACTGAAAGTTTTTCACTGCAGTACGGCTGAGTTCCACACTAGACTCTTCACAGCCAGTTCTGAATAAGAAGAGTGTTTTAAGGCCTTCTATTCCTTTGGTTCACACCAAAGTGAGAACTCTGATTCCTTCCCACCTCCCAGTGCTTACACAGCCCATTCACTGTGTCAATCCCTGCTTTCTAGCAGAAGAGAAAACCTTAGTTCTATGTGACCCCAGGCAGGGTTTTCGGTAGCAAAGCAGCATTCTTCCAGTGCTGTTAGACAACACAAAGGACAGCCCTGAATGAACCACACCTTCTGAGAGCAAGATACTTGCATCTGAATACATCATGACTGCTTAATCCAGTACCCACCATCTCCTGAAGAGAAACAGGCCACCATGCCAAATTCTATTCAGAACTTTTATGAGTCATTTCTCTGTTCATTGGGCCAAATTCAAAATGATACATTAACTCAAACAACAACGACAAAAGGGACACGCTTTCATAAAAAATCCGGGCAAAGCTGTTTTATAAGAGGATCTAAAAACTGAACAAATCACATCTTAACACCAGCTAGAGATAATTTCTCTGTCCCCATTTACAAATGACTCATCTTTTTGCATTAAGATACATAAAAAAAAAATCTGTAGCAAGAAAATACATTGCAAATCACATTTTACACAACTGAATTACTAAATTACTTTTCTCTCAACAAAGCAGAACTCATTTTCTCCTATGAGAAAAGTTGTGACCATATGGAGAGATGAATGATAAACCACAGGCATGCATTTGTCATACAAGCAGAGTTATATGTTAAATTTTAATCAATACTGATCCCAAACTCACTCTCAAGATTTCAAAAAAGGGCAAGGAACTTTTTTCAACAAATGATTCCAACAGTGGAAGTCCAAAAAGGTGAAAAACACTACACGATAAAGAAATGTATTAATTATTTCTTTAAGGGTCAGAGAGCTTCCTAGAGAAAGGAAAAGCAGAGTGGGCATCTCCACCCCTCAGCACTTCTGCGGCTTGGGGAAATCACTCAAGAAAGGGAGGGTGCATTCTGTGGAGCCAGCTGGCCTTGCTTTCCATACCAAACTAGGCAACGTTTCAATATGCTATCTCAAAATTTTCAATAGTAATTTGATTTCATTAACATTCTCTCCAGCTGAAAATTGCAGACAGCTCATAATATAGTATGATGTTGGTGAAGTTTTGGATCCTAAGCATCCCTTTGTTCCTGTTTTCTAATATTAGAAGATACTGTGCTATAAGTAGAGAGCAGTTCTAAAATTCTTGTAAGACTCCACATTAAAATGGAACAGAACCATAAAAATGCTTAATGCAATACAGATGTGACTGGAAATGTTAACACAGCCCCAAATGACTAATTTCTACAATTGGATATGTTAATCTTTAAATAAAAATGCCGTATTTTAACAAAGGCTAAGTTTAAGCCACTGCTTAATAAAAATAAGCACCACTCTACTACATTCCAGATATGCTGTTATACTTCCCGAAGGCAAATCCTTTGCTACTGCCGCTGCCAAGCCTCCGCCACCCCTTGTTGCAGCAGACAACACCCAAATCTACACAATGCAGCACACACTAGTCACATTTCCCAGTGTGCACAAAAGCATCTAAATTTACATCTCCACAGACACCAGAAAACATCCTGTCGTGGAAGACAGTCACTTCATCCTATGGATTAAGATAAAATGCACGGGGTCTGGCCCATCCACACCCACAAGCGCTGTGCGTTGCATTGCACGCTGCCTGGCCGTGTTGTGCCCCGGCCTTACCCTGCAAGCGCTGCGTGTTGCACTGCACGCTGCCTGGCCGTGTTGTGGCCCGGCCTTGCACTGCAAGCGCTGCATGTCGCATTGCACGTTGCCTGGCCGTGTTGTGTCCCGTCATTGCCCTGCAAGCGCTGCATGTCGCATTGCACGTTGCCTGGCCGTGTTGTGTCCCGTCATTGCCCTGCAAGCGCTGCATGTCGCATTGCACGTTGCCTGGCCGTGTTGTGTCCCGTCATTGCCCTGCAAGCGCTGCATGTCGCATTGCACGTTGCCTGGCCGTGTTGTGTCCCGTCATTGCCCTGCAAGCGCTGCATGTCGCATTGCACGTTGCCTGGCCGTGTTGTGTCCCGTCATTGCCCTGCAAGCGCTGCATGTCGCATTGCACGTTGCCTGGCCGTGTTGTGTCCCGTCATTGCCCTGCAAGCGCTGCATGTCGCATTGCACGTTGCCTGGCCGTGTTGTGTCCCGTCATTGCCCTGCAAGCGCTGCATGTCGCATTGCACGTTGCCTGGCCGTGTTGTGTCCCGTCATTGCCCTGCAAGCGCTGCATGTCGCATTGCACGTTGCCTGGCCGTGTTGTGTCCCGTCATTGCCCTGCAAGCGCTGCATGTCGCATTGCACGTTGCCTGGCCGTGTTGTGTCCCGTCATTGCCCTGCAAGCGCTGCATGTCGCATTGCACGTTGCCTGGCCGTGTTGTGTCCCGTCATTGCCCTGCAAGCGCTGCATGTCGCATTGCACGTTGCCTGGCCGTGTTGTGTCCCGTCATTGCCCTGCAAGCGCTGCATGTCGCATTGCACGTTGCCTGGCCGTGTTGTGTCCCGTCATTGCCCTGCAAGCGCTGCATGTCGCATTGCACGTTGCCTGGCCGTGTTGTGTCCCGTCATTGCCCTGCAAGCGCTGCATGTCGCATTGCACGCTGCCTGGCCCTGTTGTGTCCTGGCCTCGCGCTGCATGTTGCATTGCATGCTGCCTGGCCGTGTTGTGCCCCGGCCTCGCCCTGCATGTCGCATTGCACGCAATAAAAATAAGCACCACTCTACTACATTCCAGATATGCTGTTATACTTCCCGAAGGCAAATCCTTTGCTACTGCCGCTGCCAAGCCTCCGCCACCCCTTGTTGCAGCAGACAACACCCAAATCTACACAATGCAGCACACACTAGTCACATTTCCCAGTGTGCACAAAAGCATCTAAATTTACATCTCCACAGACACCAGAAAACATCCTGTCGTGGAAGACAGTCACTTCATCCTATGGATTAAGATAAAATGCACGGGGTCTGGCCCATCCACACCCACAAGCGCTGTGCGTTGCATTGCACGCTGCCTGGCCGTGTTGTGCCCCGGCCTTGCCCTGCATGTCGCATTCCACGTTGCCTGGCCCTGTTGTGTCCCGTCCTCGCCCTGCAAGCGCTGCGTGTTGCACTGCACGCTGCCTGGCCGTGTTGTGCCCCGGCCTCGCCCTGCATGTCGCATTGCACGCTGCCTGGCCGTGTTGTGCCCCGGCCTCGCCCTGAATGTTGCATTGCACGTTGCCTGGCCGTGTTGTGTCCCGTCCTCGCCCTGCAAGCGCTGCGTGTTGTACTGCACGCCGCCTGGCCGTGTTGTGTCCCGTCCTCGCCCTGCATGTCGCATTGCACGCCGCCTGGCCGTGTTGTGCCCCGGCCTCGCCCTGAATGTTGCATTGCACGTTGCCTGGCCGTGTTGTGTCCCGTCCTCGCCCTGCAAGCGCTGCGTGTTGTACTGCACGCCGCCTGGCCGTGTTGTGTCCCGTCCTCGCCCTGCATGTCGCATTGCACGCCGCCTGGCCGTGTTGTGCCCCGGCCTCGCCCTGAATGTTGCATTGCACGTTGCCTGGCCGTGTTGTGTCCCGTCCTCGCCCTGCAAGCGCTGCGTGTTGTACTGCACGCCGCCTGGCCGTGTTGTGTCCCGTCCTCGCCCTGCATGTCGCATTGCACGCCGCCTGGCCGTGTTGTGCCCCGGCCTCGCCCTGAATGTTGCATTGCACGTTGCCTGGCCGTGTTGTGTCCCGTCCTCGCCCTGCAAGCGCTGCGTGTTGTACTGCACGCCGCCTGGCCGTGTTGTGTCCCGTCCTCGCCCTGCATGTCGCATTGCACGCCGCCTGGCCGTGTTGTGCCCCGGCCTCGCCCTGAATGTTGCATTGCACGTTGCCTGGCCGTGTTGTGTCCCGTCCTCGCCCTGCAAGCGCTGCGTGTTGTACTGCACGCCGCCTGGCCGTGTTGTGTCCCGTCCTCGCCCTGCATGTCGCATTGCACGCCGCCTGGCCGTGTTGTGCCCCGGCCTCGCCCTGAATGTTGCATTGCACGTTGCCTGGCCGTGTTGTGTCCCGTCCTCGCCCTGCATGTCGCATTGCACGCCGCCTGGCCGTGTTGTGCCCCGGCCTCGCCCTGAATGTTGCATTGCACGTTGCCTGGCCGTGTTGTGTCCCGTCCTCGCCCTGCATGTCGCATTGCACGCCGCCTGGCCGTGTTGTGCCCCGGCCTCGCCCTGCATGTCGCATTGCACGCCGCCTGGCCCTGTTGTGCCCCGGCCAGGCCCTGCATGTCGCATTGCACGCTGCCTGGCCCTGC